AAGTAAAAAAGAGCCAGAGAGCAACCGAAGACCATGGGCTTGTGCTGTGGCACTTTGGCACATCCCAACTGGTAAAGAGCTGCTCAGCGTATTTCCAAAAAATTCTTTTGTTCTTTAAAGGTACCTCTACATTTTTAGTGCCTTACTAGAGAATCTTATACCCTCTGAATGTGTTTATACAAATAATAACATGGTATAATGGCCAAGTACAATAATCCTTGGTTGATGCACAGGAAACCAAGATGCAAAGAGGACAAATGACTGTCTGTGGTCACACAGTATATCTGTACCTGACCCATCATGGCACTGGGCTCCTGTCTTTGTCTCACGAGCTGCTGCCTCATCAGGTCCCCCACTCCTTTGTAGCCCTTTGTCTCACCCAAACCTGACTATCCAAACCTGTGTTTGCCCCAAATCCACAAATACTCTGGGTCAGCTGCTTCCATTTGGCTCCTTCCTCTGTTTTATCAAGCAGCCCAGGCCATGCTTCTCTCCTCCCTGACAGTCAGTCACTCCCATCTCAGGCTGCCAGGGCTCTGCTACACAGCTTGGGCCCTTCTCTCCTGCTGAGCCCATAGAAGAGGAGATTCCCCTGGTTATTTTCCTGGGAGCAACCCACATGTTCCAGTGCTACAGCTCGAGTGATTTGCTGGTCCGTTGGCCGTGGGTTGATGTGACATTCATGAGCTGCCAATAAAACCTGGGGGGAAGGAGCCAGGTGATGGGAAACCATCCCTGGGTGACTGTTTGGCAGATGCCTGACAGAAGGCAGAGTAACCCTCACATCTGCCTGTTCTCGTGGATGGTCCCACACGAGCCCATGGTAACTCCTGGGCGTGAAGTCTCATGGTGAGCAGCTGAGGTGGTGTAGGGTGTCAGTGTGGGGTGCAACTGCTGAGCTGACAAAAAATAAAACAACCAGAAAAACCCAAACAAAACCCCAAACAAATGAAAAAATGCTACTGTTTTCTCATTGTGTGAGATCTGCTGCTGACCTGTTTGTGGAAGCTGGGGACCAAGACAATGGAAATGAGTTAGACTGAAGTGAAGGTCTGGCCATGATTTTTATGACAGGATTCATAGCAGGGGAGAATATCTGGAGCCTGCTGTACTCTCAAGGCTTATCAAGGACTGTGGTTGCTTTTGTTGTGTGTGTGGCATTGCAGTCTTTGTGCTGGAGGTCTTGGTTACCTGCTCTCTGGCTTCTCTACCTTCTGTTTAAGCTTTGACTATGTTTATAATTGGCCTGTTCTCATTTTTTTTCATGAGACAATATTCTTCATGGAAGCAATTTTTACTTCTCCAAAGTTATCTTCACAAACCAAATTATTTTCTTGTAATAACCTTCCTTTGACCTTGCTATCAGACAGAGCACATCCAGTTTCATCCATTTAAATTGCCTGAATCCACATAAATTAACCTTGCCGTGCCTCTGGTTCATTATGAATGGCGCCATATCAGTGTTGTGCATAGATGGTCTCGCTCTGTTTTGTTGGATGTCATTAAACACCAAACCAAAACCTGGTTAGGAAGCCGAGAACAAAAGTTTTTGATGAATAATAGGTGTTGAGCCCCACCCTCCAGGCACGTCTCAAGCAGGAGGACGGTTCCCATTGCTCGTGCACAGCACCATCCCCAGCCGTTCCTCCATCTCCGGCGCCGCAGCCACTCGGGGAGCAGCTGGATAATGTCTCCAGGGGTTGACTTGGAGATAAACACTTTACACGGATCGATGGTGCATGTAGCGCTCCTGCTCATGCAAAGCAGAGGGGATTTGGAAGTGCAGGATGTTCCCTACAGCACTAGAGGGAGCACAGGGAAGGAGTCGCCAGAGACAGCTGGGAGCCTCCTGAGCCTCCTGGTGCCTTGGTGAAGGCCCAGGTCGTCTCCCTTCTTCTCCCTACAACAAGGAGAAAGTAATTTTCCCCAAGCATTATATACGTGTAGATGAAAAATTTTAATAAATATTGATTGCTTCATGGGGTGTCCGAGGGAATAAAACCAAACCAGAGTCAGCCTGTGCTGATGGCAGGGAATAAATGTTCAGAGGGATTGAGGAACTGACTGCACTTTTTTGGATTGTAGCTTAATCACTACCCAAGGCCCTCTGAAGCAAACAAACCACGAGTTTACTCCACTTTACAGGATGGGACTCTGATGTATTTTCTATTATTTCTACAGTTTATTCACTTGTTAGTTTACACAACTCAGTCATTTGCTATGTTTCTGACAGCAGTGAAGTGTTATGACTTAGTGTTGAAGATATACCAGAGTGAATGAATTTACTCCTGATCTTTCTACTGCAGTGTTTGCCTAAAAAGAGACATAAAATATCAGTAATTCATACCTGAGTGAGCAGCCTGTCCTAATCCTCTACCCACCAGTGAGACACAGCTCTTGCTGCACCTCTGAGACTGAAGTGATGCTTTGGGATGAAGTCTCTGAGGACATGAATCAGATTAATCTATGCAGAAATGAAATATTTGTTCAGCGTAAGCTGAATTTATTTTTGCTGACTTAGCAGAAGTAAAAATGCTAATAGATCCTCAAATAAAAAGTTCAGCATTTTCTGTCTAATTGTTGTTAAAACATGTACATTTGTGCACTGGATACAGCCTTTCTGGGAAGGGGCTTGATGGCCATGTCATATTCTGGCCAGCCAGATATTTTGTCCTGGTTCAAGGGACACCAGCATAAATATGTTCTCAAACCCTTATATCTACTGGCAAATGGGAGTGCAGATACTTCTGAAGCAAATTTGAGTCCTGAGGTTTGAAATGCTGATCTTTTACTGCTGAGTTCTAGGCATGTCCTTTCTGATGCAGCTGCAGCAACAGAGCTGGAGAAGGGTCTGGAGCACAAGTGTGATGAGGAGCGGCTGAGGGAGCTGGGGGGGTTCAGCCTGGAGAAAAGGAGGCTCAGGGGCGACCTTCTTATTCTCTACAACTCCCTGAAAGGAGGATGTAGTGAGGCAGGAGTCAGTCTTTTCTCCCAAATAACAAGTAACAGGGCAAGAGGAAACGGCCTCAAGCTGAGCCAGGGGAGGTTTAGATTGGACATTAGGGAAAATTTTTTCACTGAAAGGATTGTCCAGCCTTGACACAGGGTGTCCAGGGAAGTGATGGAGTCCCCGTTCGAAGGGATTTAAATTCCATGTGGATGTGGCACTTGGGGACGTGGGTTAGTGGTGGGCGTGGCAGTGCTGGGGAAACGGTTGGACTCGATGATCTGAGAGGGCTTTTCCAACCCAAACGATTTAGTAAACCCGTGATTCTGTAATTCCTTCGGGAGTCGGTCCTTCCCCCTCTCCACGCCGAAGCCCCCGGCCCCGCGGGCGGTGCTGGGCGGACAGCTCCCGGCGCGGGGTCCCGGGGGTGGCGATGGTCCTGAAGGGACAGCTCCGGGCGGGGGGCGGTGCTGCCGCACCGGGAAAGGTCCGGGAGGGGGGCTCGGTCCGCTGCCCCCTTCCCGCTGCTTCCCCCGCTCCCCCCCGGCAGCAGGGGCCGATCGGGGCCCTTCGGGACCGTCCCCCCGCCGGTCCCCGGGGCCGCGGCAGCTCCAGCCCCGCTCCCTCGACCCCTGTGCCGCTAATTGCTCATGACGGCTGGCGCCGGGCTGCAGCTGCAGCGTCCGGGACGGGACAAGGATGGAGCACTTCCAGCGCTCATCACAGCCCTGCCGCAGCCCAGGACCCTTTTGTCTTCTCCCTCCTCTTCATTTTAATTGACGGAGAGGGGACGGTCAGTTTGCCCTACAGCCGGGAAAACGGGACAGGGAAGATCCCGGTGGAATGGAGGCAGCTGTGAAACCACCACAACAAACCTCCTGAAAGGCAGGGAGTGCAGCATGGAATCATCTGCACAGAGTGCCAGCACTGAAGCTCAAGCAATGAAACACAAAGCCCTGTGCTCTGTAACAAGTGCTGGGAGACCGTTAAATTGAATTAAATGAGCGGGTCGGGGGTGTGGCACATCTGCTTCATGTCTTGGTTTCACCCAGGCCCAGACATAATGGTGGAGCAACGACCTCGTTGCCTGGTTTGTTTGTATTAAATGATAATGTCTAAATGATAATAAATGATAATGTCTCTCGTTTATTCCCGGAGAGCTTCCTCAGGGCTCTTGGCAGCACATTAGGAGATGAATTAGCTTACTGCTGCATGCCATGACTTCTGGCCTCTCACAGGCTTTCCAGAGTTTTTTTTCATTTAAAACAAAATCAAAGACGTCTGGCTGGCACTGCTGATGTGAGCTGTTCCTATTTGGTTTACATTTAACAGCAGGACTGGGTGGGGTGTTCAAATCAAAATATGGAGCAAGCTAAGAAATTGTTCAATAAATATCTGAGCTTCAGGGATGGTTGGTTAGCAAAGGAGGGTGCTAATTAGGATGAAGCTCTGTACCTAGGAGAAAAAATAAGTGCATATATGAAGCAGGCATAAGTTTTCCCACTCAGTTAGCTCTGGGAAGGCAGAGGAGAAGACCTGAAAGATGTTCCTGAGAACATGTGGTACACAAGATGCTACTTTTCTCAAAATTGTTCTGCATCTAGTGCCTCTCCATATCACAGAGTTCTGAGGGTTTTCCTGTCCTGGCCCAGGGGAGGGTCTTGCTCTGAAGGTGGCATTGGCAGCTGAGCTGCAGAGTCGCCTCTGGCTCGAGGTCAAAATGTGAGCTCAGTACAGAAGGGACAAACCAAGGCCAGAAGCACCAGGGCACGTGGGAAATCCAGAGGCAGAGAAAGACAGGACACCAGAATGTCTGTGCCTGTGGCAGAGGCAGGAGCAAGGGCAGCACAAGGAGGTTCAGGGCAGGTTTGGCAGGACATGCAGCTGTGAAGACTCTGTCCCCACATGCCTGGGTGTCCCCTGAGGAGCCAGTCCAGGGCAGAGCCTCAAAGCACCTGTGAGACATGGGAGCTGAGCCCCAGCTGCTGACCTGAGACATGGGAGTGATGCTGTGAGGGTTACACTGATGTGATCAAGAGCCTGACAGCCTGACAGAGCACCTCCCTGGTTTCAAGTCCATCTATTCTGAGGCTCTTTGTCAAGAGTGTGCTAACAGTTCACTGTCTTAAATGCGCTAAACTCCAAAAATACAGGTGAGGATTGCCCCAGAAACAGACCTGCTGCAATCTGTCATGAGGGCAGCAGCTCGTGCCCTTGTGATCACCAAGGACTCTGCAGTGCATCCTCCAGACTGGAAATTCTCCTTCCAGTGGAGAAGGGGTGTAGGCAGCTGTCCTAACGTGGTTAATGACATGGGCTGCAGTGTCCCAGCTCCTCTGGAGGGAAAATCCTGCACAGAAACTTATACCTCTAGATGTGGCAAATTCCTACTGTGTGTCTTCCCATGACATTTGCCACACTGGCATCTAATTTAGCCTGCTCTAGAGCAGACACTCCTTGGGGACCTTTTGGCAGGCCATGGGAATCTGGAAAAGCCTCCATGAAGTCTGGTAGCTGCAAAAGGGGTTCCTTGTGTACTTGCTTCATTTCTCTGTGAAAAAAGAGCTGCCATTGTTATTATAATCTCTTCTTACTTCTATTTCATATTTTTCAGCCTACAAGGAGAAAATGAAGGAGCTGTCTCTGCTCTCCCTCATCTGCTCCTGTTTCCACACCCAGCCCCATCCCAATACCATCTACCAGTATGGAGGTAGGTAACCTTCTCCCACAGGAGCTCCAGCAGTGTTTGGATGATCCTCCCACTGGCAACGTGGGAGCTCGAGAGTCAGAGTCTCTCTGCTTTGTGTCAGGGTGACATACAAGACATTAGCAGCAATGTGGCCTTTCTGTAATTATGCTGCGACTTTAAATTAATTGCACTGACGTGGGGGAGGGATGGAGGTGATCACTAATTGCAAAATTCTGGAGATAAAACAAAATCACCCGGGTCAGGACACACAGGACTCTAATTCCTGTGTGAAGAGCTTGGTGCTCTCAGGTGAACACTCTCCCGGGTGACAGGTCCACAGAGTCACTTTTTTTTTTTTCCCTCACAAAGATATGGAGGTGAAGCAGCTGGATAAGAGGGCATCAGGCCAGAGCTTTGAAGTAATCCTGAAGTCCCCTTCAGATTTATCTCCTGAGAGCCCAATCCTTTCCTCCCCTCCCAAGAAGAAGGATCTGTCCCTGGAGGAGCTGCAGAGGAGGCTGGAGGCTGCAGAAGAGAGGAGGAAGGTAAGGAAATGTCCTATAGAAGCAGTGACTTTTTTGTGACAGGCACTAATTGCGCCAAACTCTAAAACTGGCTTAGCAGCAGCAATCTACAACAGCTGGGAAGAGCATTCTGGCACTTGTTATTATATTCCACTGTGAATTGTCAGGTGAGATACCACGGAGTGAGGTTCTGCAGCCTGTTTTAGCCAGGGAATTGGACTCCATCATCATCACTGTGCAGATGTGGCGCTTGGGGACAGGGGTTAGTGGTGGGCTTGGCAGTGCTGGGGGAACTGTTGGATTCAATGATCTCAGAGGGCTTTTCCCACCTAAGCGATTCTATGATAGCAGAAAAAAGGCGCCAAAACATCTTCTGAGCAAGAGTGTTACGGGATGGAGGGGGGTGACAGAGAGGTTTGAGCAGAGGAGGTGGTCAGAAAGCCCCTCTGGGGAGCTGAGGGCTGGAAGAGGCTCTCTCTCTGGTCACCTCCCACCTCTCCCTCGGCAGACCCAGGAGGCGCAGGTGCTGAAGCAGCTGGCGGAGAAGCGGGAACACGAGCGGGAGGTGCTGCACAAGGCGCTGGAGGAGAACAACAACTTCAGCCGCCTGGCCGAGGAGAAGCTCAACTACAAGATGGAGCTGAGCAGGGAGATCCGTGAAGCACATCTCGCTGCCTTGAGGGAGCGGCTGCGCGAGAAGGTGAGTGCAGCGCCCCGGGAGAGGGCTGAGGGCTCGGAGTGCTGATCCTCATGGAGGGGTTGGGGTCTGGTCCCTGTGGGGTCATCCCAGTGCGATGGGCACTGGGGAGGGGGTGTTTTGTTGCTGGTGGGGCTGTGGAGCAGCTCTTCTCTGGAGCAGCACGAGGAGGGGGAATGTGTCCTTAGAGGTCAGTAGAGAACATTGTCTGGGTATTCTTGATCAAGTTCAGAGCCGCAGGATCAGGTCCACCCCATGTCTATGGGCTGTATGGCCAAAGGGCTTTGCATGAGAGGGGATCCATGGGTTCCCTGCGGGTTCCATCACCTCTGGGCTCCCACAAATGATGCTTCACTCCTTGCAGGTGTAACTCGCTGTCCTCAAGGGGTGTTGGATGGGAAATCGGTCTCTTTTTTTATGTCTGATGTAAATCCTGGGTGCAGGAGAAAATAGAGAGCACAAGAGCAGGCAGTGTTAGCCTGGTGTCACCCCTCCCATTTTTGCAGGAGCTGCACGCAGCCGAAGTCCGCAGGAACAAGGAACAGCGGGAGGAGATCTCTGGATAAAGGGCTTTTCTACACATCTAGCACCTGATTCCTGTTAACAAACCAACCAATCGACCAACCAACACATTTCATTTTGTTTGTCTAGATGCAGCATTCAGTTCTCCATCCCCATTCCCTGGTGTTCGTCCCTCAGCTACACGCTTCTCTCTGCATCCCTAATCGTCAGTGCTTGTGGGGATTCACAGATCATAGGGACCTCTAAGCAGAATAGCAACTAGTTCACATGAAATAGAGAATCAATCAGTCGACCAGTCAATCAAAAAGCTTCTTTGGAGGGTTTTGTCCTTTTTTAAAAAAAAATATTTCTTAAACTCATGTAAAAAAAAAAATAATTAAGGTATTAATAAATTCAACCAGCAGTGTCACGGAGGTACAGATTTTTATCCGGGCTTTTCCTCCTCTTGGTTTTTGCTCCGAGCCAAAAATCAGTTTCAGAATAATGGGAAGAAAGTGATTATTTCTGTGTGTGAAGTTAAATAGGGAGCAACCCCTTGTTTGCCAGTGGTAGGAAAGAGGAAGCAGAGGGATGGGTGGCTCAGGAATCGCAGCATGCAGAACTCCCATCTCTTGGCTGTATCCAGGGCCAGTGCAGGCAGGCAGTGACCCAAAATCCTCATGTTTGGGTGACTCTTTGAGAGCAGAGTGATCCTTTGGAAGCAGGTGAGGGTTTTCACCCCAAGCTTGGTGCCGGGTGCCCCATCCTGCACTGCCTGACACCCTGGTTACCTGTGGACTGAAGGAGCCCTCTCCCCACCCAAGCAGGGACTGAGAGGTCTTGGACATTCAGCCCAGGAGAACCATCGATGGTGATTGCACCCCTGGCTCTGTGGGAGCTCTGGGAGAGGGCACTTGGTCTGCAGGCTCTCCAGCACTCCCACAACACAGGATTTCACTCTGTTAGGAAAGCAGATCCAGTAGAGACAGTGCATGGTTGTGAAATAACCTCTTAGTGAACAGAATAATCACCCTTCCCTCTTTCCAGAGGTGGATGTGGCTCTTTGGCGCCATTACAGAGCAAACTGCTGGAGATCAAATCCTGGAGCTCTTTGTTGATCTCCCCAAAAGTCCCAGCTGGATATGGGAGGGATCTCTCAGTGGCCATGTCTTGACATCAGGGGACTCTGCTCCTAAAAGGAAGGGCTACCTTACTCCCGAACCCCTTGGCCTGGGTTGGGGGCAGGACAGGGCTGTTAGAAAGGTCCTGTGCTGTCAGTGATAAAAATAAAATAAGATTTAGGGCAAAGAAGGAAACTGAGGGTTGAATTTCTTACCAGTAGCTAATGATCAGTTTATAGTAGCAGCTGTCTTAGATAAGCATCTGTGTAGAGCGCGGCATCACCGCCAGCATCACCTCATCCATATAGTGGCGAGAAATTTTAAAAAGTTTAAAAAAAAAAATTTAAAAAGTAATTTAAATGAAATGTTTGTGTGTAAGAAATGGTTGAAACTGTCAAATGTCTGTGTCCCGCGTTGGTGGGATCTGAGAAGGTATCTGCGAGATATTAACCCTGTCCTACTCTCTGTGGTGCTGAGTGTTTGCTTGGTGTGTAATTCTGACCTGGAGCTTGTTGTAAATACTGTTTTTAGTACTATGATTATTATGATTATTATTATCAGAAATGTTGTACTCATGAGCAGGAGTTGAAAACAAGAGAAATGGCCATTTTCACTCTCTCCTGGGGGCTCAGAAGGAGTCAGGAGGCTGGGCCAAGTGAAGGCAGGCTGTTGGTGGGATGCTGGACCAGGGAGCAGCTGGAAAATGATGGGATTGGGAGCTGGAGGCAGCTGAGTCCTGCAGGCAGGGCGGTGAGAGCAGGGACGGCTGCTCCTCGTGCTGGGAGGAGAAGGAAGGGCTGAGAGGTGAAATAGAGGAGATGCTTCAGTTCTAGTACATATTATTTAGTGTTGACCCAAACCTCCCTGTGTGGGGGTTCCAGGTGACTCCCTGCAGCCCCAGGGAAGCCAGAGGACCGTCAGGTTTGGCATGTGCTGAAGGAGAGGTGGTCAGTGGCAGATTGTGCCAGACATCCTCCCAGACAGCTCCTGAGTCTCTGGGCTCAGTTCCTGCCTGAATCTTCCCTCTCAGTCCCTTGTGCTGCCTTGCGTCTCTCTCCTCCCCCTCTCTGTAAGCCCAGCTGGGTCTCAGGTGGGGACTTACTCTTGCAATATCTTTCCCTGGCAAAAAAATCCCCTGGGAAACACAGAATGGCCTGGCAGATGGTGCTTGTGCAGGTGTGAGCACTGGGAAACTCATTTTTCTTCCCTCCATCGGGCCGGTGAGGTGAGGGACAGTGGATGTGGCTGGAAAATGTGTTACTGCAGGGTGAGCTCCTGCCTCAGAGGAGCAGGGATGTGCAGGGGGAGTTTTGCATCAGTAACATTAGGCAGCTGCTGCCAAGACACATTGTGCCAAGGAAACAGCCTCGTTGGTGGGGCCGGAGGCTTCAGGTGTCGCAGAGCCACGTTTGCCTGGTGGAGATGGATGTAGTAGGGATGTTCAGGAGCTTGATGCTTGTCCAGTGCTACTGGGCACTATCAGGGAAATGTGTGATTGCTTTGGCTGCGCAGTGTTGGCTGGATGAGGGGTGTCCACCCACTGCTCCAAACCCATCGTGGCCAGGAGCCGTGCCTGACTGGCAGCACGTGGCACGGGCCAGGATCGTGGTTATTCCATGCCTTTCCATATCCCTTCATGCTAATGGCTGTGTGCAGCTGCATATTTCATGCCTCAGTTGAGACTAATCAAGTACCCTCATTAACATCCATACTGCCCCAGCCTCCCTCATTCCTGGACTGTTCCCATGTACTGCAGTCATGGACATGGCATGCAACTCCCAACTCCCACAGTCACCTTCCTTCTGGTGGGGCTTGAGGTCCATTGATTCCTGTGGGTGTGTGTGAATCAAGCTCTGTACAGACAGTTTTCAGCCCCATTTTTGCAGCAGCACAAGGACACAGGACTGTGCCTAGTAGGGAGAGCATCCTCAGGGCACACGCAGCACCCCTGCCCAGACCATGAGTGTGGCAGCTGTGTGAGGAAGGAAGTACGAGATGGTGACATTATTCTGTGCAGGTATATGCCTCCCAAAGAGCCCTCCTGGGGAAGGGCCTCTAACTCGGGCAAGAGCGAGGAGCTGAAGCGAAATGAGCTCCCAGCTGGCACCAACAGCTGGGCGATGGGTGAAGCCACAGAAGAGCTGGGAAAACTGGCCTTGTAGCCCAAATTACAGCTCTGTGCCCATGTTATCCCTCACAGCAGAGCTCAGCTCTGTCCATAAATAGGCGCTTCCAACTTCTTCTGGACTGAGCCTGTTCCTTGTCTTATTATTTCTGAGTCATCAAAAAATCTTGCTCTAACCCAGATGTGGGGTCCCCTTTGAGTTGACCTTCCAGGGCCGGTGGGAGTTCACGATTGCATGCATCCTACCTCGGGGGTAGGTCGGTCTTGCTGCTCCCTTTTCAAATGTAAACTTCAGCTTGCTTGCTTTAGCTTAGCCCAGCGTGGCTCTCTGGCCCTGGCTCTGCAATCCTGTCTCATGGGGTCCGTTATATCCCTCCCATGGCATTCCTGTCCTCCTCGCAGTGGCTGTGCACTCGGCTGTGCACACGCGCACAGAAATGCATCCGTGGAAACAATATATGCACATACACTCTGATACCACTTGAAATGAGTCAGGGAATGGCTGTTTACGGTGCTAGAGATTTCTTACTCTCCATGCTAGGGACAAGATGACATAGCAAGACCAATAAACTCCACCTTTGTAGTCAATTGTCGTTAAGTAAAGCAGAAGAGGGGCACTGGCCCACGCCTAAGTGTGGGCGCTCCGTGGTCCCTGGGGTGCAGGGATACAGCCTGGGGGGCGTGGGACCTGAGTGCAGGGGATCCCTGCCCCAGCATCCCCTGTACCTCAGTTTCCCACACCCCGAGACAAGGGGACACGGACACTCCCTGCCCACAGGGACCGCGGGAGAGCCAACGACTCCACGCCTCCAAAGCGCTCTGAAATGGAAAGTACCAAAGCATCGAGTTGGGATAGGCAGCTGTGCATCCCGGGAGGAAGAGCCCGGCCCGTGACTGCAGGCAGAGGGTTGGAAGATGACTGCGTGGGCACAGGGCTGAGCCGTGACCCCAGGGCTCAGCATCCCGGCTGCTCCCCGGGCAGGATCCGCTCCTCCCGCCGCAGCCGGGGCCACCGTCCCTCGTGCCGGGTGGGAAGCTGGTGCAGTGTCATGGAAGGACTTTCCATCCCTAACAGAGCCTTGTCCGGTTCCCTTCGGTCTACCACGTGCATTTCATTGTCAACTTGAGGTTGTTGTTGTGCAAAAGAAGTGATTATGAAAAAAAAACTAATAAAGGAAAAAAAAAAGAAATAAAGTTGGTATGAAACTGTATGTGTCCGTCTCTCCCCATAAACAGGTTGGTTTAGTTCCAAGGCTTCTCTTTGTATTGCGAGAATACCAATAAATTGCATTAAACAGAAAATTGACCTAAAGATTTAACGAAATAGACTCTAAGCATCTGAATGCCCAACGAGTACTTTGCATCCAGCACAGAAGAGGCAGAAAATGACAGTTTATGGCAATTGTCAGAGGGAAAAAGTAATAAATGCTTGAATGAGGGTCCTGCTGATACCCCCTGTGGCTGGGAGTGAGGGTGTGCACAGAGGAAGATCGAGAAGGATACAATACAATACAATAAATATATGATACAAAAATAAATAAAATAAACGCAGCTCTGGAAAATACATGAGCTTCTTTATTAAAAAATCCAATGCTTCCTTCATGAGCTTTTCCAAGAAAGGATCCAGCTTGAACTGGACACAGTGGAAGGGAGCAGGGCCATGGTTACCAGGGAGAGGGGACCCTAACCCATGGGACCCTGCATGGCCATCACTCCAAAACCCATCCCTGGGGCCAGGTACACAAAAATGCCCCCAAAGCTGCAACTGAAAACAGGAAAGTTTGTAATCCACAGGGATATGGGGGGGGAGGGTGCCTGGCCACTGCTCCAGCTGCTGGGGAAAATATCCCCCACTCGCCTTTTTGGGGGAGGCTTTTGCCACCATGAGTGGTGCCCAACATCACTGCCCACTGCCCTCCTTGTCCTTGAAGTGATATTGAAACAGCAGCATCCTCATGGGCTGTCCCACATCTTGTGTTCCCATCAAAATAACCAATGTGGGAGTCTTCCCACAGATCGCAGCAGAACTCTGTGTACAAGAAACTGAGGGAAGGCAGAGGGGGTTAAATTTAATTCCCAGGGCAGTGTTCTGTAAGAGCAGGGAGGACAGTGCCAGGACAGTGCTGGGGCCATCACAGCGGTGGCAGTGGCTGAGCAGCCCATGCTTGATGCTCTTCCCATGTGTGCTCAGGACGCTGCCTCCTGCACAAACAGGAATTCTATTTTTGCAGCGTGACCTTCCTGGTTTTGGAGATAACGACCTGACTGCAAACACAGCATTGCTCACTTCTCCTCTGAGGTTTGCTACAGATCACTAACATGGGCTCTTAAAAAATGTGGATGTAGAAAACTAAACCTCTGCAGTAGTCTTGGGAAAACAGAAGCAGTCCTTAGTGCCACACAATTCAAGATACATTAGAGACCAAGCATGGCCACCCTCTAACTAGTTAATTCAAGTCACATCCTTCATCATTTTGTCATCTGAAGGAGGAAACTGTGGAGGGATGGGATCAGTTGGGGCAAGGGGGTGGGAGGAGCAGGAGGCATCATGGAGAGGCTCCCACCACCCTCCTGCCCTGCCCACCGTGGAGCCCTCCAGGGCTGAGTGCTGAAGACACGATACTGAAGTCTTGGACCAGACCATAGCACCCACAAAATCATAGTATCAGGGAATGTTTAGGGTTGGAAGGGACCTTAAGGCTCTTTTCATTTCAACCCCCCTGCCATGGCAGGGGCACCTTCCACTAGACCAGGTTGCTCCAAGCCCTGTCCAATCTGGCTGCAGACACTTCCAAGGGTTGGGCAGCCACAGCTTCTCTGGGCAACCCGTGCCAGGGCCTCACCACCCTCACAGGGAAGAATTTCTTCCCAATATCCAAGCTAACCCTGCCCTCTGTCAGTTTAAAACCATTCCCCTTGTCCTGTCACTCCTTGCCCATGTCAAAAGTCCCTTCTGAAAAAATCAACAGCAGGTCGAGAAAGCAAAATATCTACATAACTCTTGGAGGGATCCCTACAAAGTGCTCAAGCTGTGTCTG